TATATATAAATAATATAGGGTCTATCATATTCACATAGGTAAATGATCCTCTGATAGAGTCTCTATGTGTAAAGTCAGTTTTTAGTCATTGTATTTAATAAAAATTACAGATTAAAGAATACGGAGAACAAATAATTTTCAATATAAATCAGATGGTTGAAAGCCAAGACTTTTGGGTAATTCATTTCTTGAGAACATACTATTAGTTTACAAAATGATTTTGGAACATCCAGCATGACTGCTGCGGGACTTAGTGGGTTGCCCAATGTAGAAATGAAAATGGTTATTTAGCTAATTCCAGTTTGTAGGGTAATCGTTTTCGTAAACTACATGACTTGAAACTACGTTTTTATTTTATTTTATTTTATTTTATTTTTTTCGAAAGGACGTTGGTGGGAGAGAAATGAGGGTCAAATTTTCGATTCAAATGAATCCGAAAAGGAGGAGTAATTCGGCGGCAATGACTTCACCTCCGGTGAAGAATTTGATATACGAAAGCCCTCATAAGCTCTACGTTGGCAACCTTGCGTGGACTGTCCAACCTCAAGAGTTGAGAGACCAGTTTAGCCAATTTGGGCATGTGACTAGTGCTAGAGTTGTACATGATCGGAAAGCCGGAAAAACCAGAACTTATGGTTTTCTCTCCTTTGCTTCCGCTGCTGAACGTGACTCTGCAAAATCCTTGAATGGAAAGGTAAGTCCATATATAAAAGAATTTCTCTCCATATCTATTATAATACGGTTATTGACCATAACTATACGATTTACTCATGCACTTACAGTTAATAGTCACAGGAGTGTCACTTATATGGTAGAAATTCCTCAATTTAAATCTCTTTTTGTTGTGTTATTTTTGTTACTCACGGTAACCTATTTTTAATTCCAATTGCAGGAGTTTTGTGGTCGGATAATGGTAGTAAGAGATGGTACGGAAAAGAATGAAACTTCATCTAAGTTATAAGATTAGCCACCTGCTGCTATTGGAGTATTGTTATTTGTTATGAAGCCTGAAGTAGAGCTTAATGGGTAAAAATACCACCATTCTTGTCCCAATTGGCAATTTTGTAATTTGAATTTGGTTACTTAAATGAGGATATAGTTTACATTTATCATCTTCTTGTTTACTAGATGAGAGTTTGTGCCGTAAAACTTCCTTCTTTTTTTCACGTGTAAATGGTATTGTTATTTTAATCATTGGATTGAGTACTTAACAGTTAAATTTATAATTGTAACAGTTTACGTCGCGCGCAGTAAACTTTTAATGTGACACTTACAGATTAGATTAGACCGTTAAAATCTTAATCTAATAATTAAAATAACAGTTGCTCCCTGTAATTAAAAAGAACAATCCTTAGTCTTTACCCTAAAAATTCCCTTTATTTATTTTATAATCATGACTATATTTACGATTGATTGGGTCGTCACACCCAAAATTCGAGAATGTTTTGTAGCAATACTCGTAAGCCATTAATCTTACAAGCATCCAAGGCCTCACTTAAAACGGAATAGTATACCTCTAATACCCTCCAAATTAACTCGTACCTTCAAAACAAACAAAGAAACGAACTTGAAACAGTTCAGAGCATCATACGTTTTAAAGCCCTTACAATGACTAACGATCTCATAAAAGGCAACGCATGAGCTCAAGAA